GCAGTAGCGGCTGCGTTTTCTACCGCTTCAGGTGTCCTTCCTCAATTGATCACACCAAGGGATTGCTATTGATAGAGAAGGCAGCAATTAGATCACTCCACTCCTCCTACCACCACACTGACTAAGATATCAGTCAACCATATAACAACCGAACTGATGTAACTGGGTTGAAGCAGTCGTTTGAAGGTCAACGGTCCTTTGAAGTGTTCATACTAAGCCCTCTTCCGAAATTCTGTCATTATATCCAAAAAATGAGGTTTGAGTTGGTTGGCGACCGATGAATTGTCCTGTAGCTGTCTTCAGTTGACCAAAGTGGCCAAAAACATAATGTACACTCACCTGATCCTGGGCCTTGCCTTATGTGGGGAGGATTGGTCCGCAACTGGAGTAGTGTGCCACTTTCTCCGGTCGAAAGTGCAGTTGGAAGGTAGTGTGGCCCGAGTGCCGCATGTTATATATGAATACTCCGCCCGCGCTGCTACACGGCCAGCGCACACTTATCCATAGCAGACCATACAAAGTGGCATGCTTTTACACCAGCGAACCCATTCATCTCGTCCGTAGAAACGACCGTTCTTGGAGGTGAGTTTAACAGCTTGTCTTCAGAGTCTCAAGGCAGGTAATTCGCTTCCAGAATTTTCTGCCGATTTCGGCGGTAGTACTGTTCTTCTATTTCTTCGTTCAAGACAACCCGCAATCAATGAAGTTCAGAAGCTTTTCATTTGGCTGATGCCGTATGGGCGCGCTCATTTTGGCTGCGAGCTCATTTATGAAGTGCCTAGATCACCAAATCCGCTGAAAACTTGTATACAGGGGTAATTTAACATCCTGATTACAAATATGACATTCATTCTTGGCGCTGGCGCTAATGGAGGACACTACGATTATCTTCTGGGCTCAGTTTTAGCAGAGCGCAGATAATCGTAAACCACCGCTGTAACGTATGGCAGTACGGTCACGATCACGTAGGTGCTCTTTCTATATTACCATCGCCTTTGCGCGCTCAGTGTCTCTTGACCGTATGATCATACTACACTCAAAATTCTTGAAAGCGGTAGGCGTGCCCGCGTGCTTGAATTGAACGTGGCGGCGGCCAAGATTTTCATGAGATATTCTTATTTTGAGATAATTATGTCTTTGTCCAATACGGAACAAGCCTTCAATCAGGGAGGGAGTAAGTGGGACTCGTGCCTTCTCTGATTCGCAGCTCCCCGATCCTGGTCTTCCAGAAGTAGGGAGAGAGAAATGCGAAAAAGTGCAGGATGTCGTTTACAAGTAAGCGCCGATATCAGGTTTTTTGGTTGCTACCGAAGCATGAGGGACGTAAAAGGAAGTGGTCAGAAGGTACAAGAACTAGAGAATAAGCTAACACTAGAAGCTAAATTTCAAAAGCTGGGCCAGTTGATTGCGTACAGTCCTCATCATTGCGGACCGGTGGGGCGTGTCAGTGCGGCTGCGTTTGGCGCGGTGCCAAAGTCGTTCTGCACCAGTTGTTGAAGCGGGCAAGTGACATTACTGTATTATATCCTTCGTATTACTCGTTTTCTAACCACTTTTGTCGCATGACGCAATTCACACGCCAAAAAGACCTGAGAACGGCTCACATGTACACCTTCATAAAAGGCTGACAGCGGCCCCATCGGTCCGCAAATGGATGAGGACTATAACTACGCGGCAGTGGACATACAGTCGTCATCCTTGCACTTGATAGGGGCGTGTCGGCGAGAAGGAGCGTGCACACTGTTTGAAGCCTTCTCAGCCTTTTTCGTTGAAACGCGTATGCGACAAAAAGTGATAGAAAACGAGTAACACGAAGGATATAAATACAGTAAGTCTTGTCACTTCTATTTCACGATTGGTGAGACGCTCTCGTCGGGCGACCAGCGGCGCCGCACCGCAAGCCGCACTGACATTAGAGCTATCAAGTGGCAGGATGACGACTGTACCGTATAATTACATACAGTAATCACCCGGTATCGACACACGAGGAATTGCGCGCAAATGCTTGCATATACTGCAGTGTTCCAGGATGGACGGGAATTTCGTGCACATTTCACTTATGAATTCTTTCGTATCGACATAGAGCTTCTGAATGTATTGCATATGCGGAGCGTAAGAGAATTCATAACGCTCACAACGCTTCTTTCTAGTTGTTTGCAGAATAATTACATGAATATAAAGAGCCGAATTACTTTTATAGACCAGGAAAATTCTTTTACAAGTGCTTCCTTAACTTATATCCAGAAATTATCAACTGCTAGCGCCTAGTTGACTGACAATACGGAAAACCGCCTTAATCAGCAAGAAGAACGTAGAAAGTAGTGATCTGATATCCAGCAGACGTGAAATTTTTCGTTGACGGTACCATCTGGCGCCTATTTGGATGGGCAGCTAAAGTTTCGGGACTGTCAGTTCTCGGTGCAACTATAGTGCGGACTCAATTCGCGTACCAAGGGTTCTAGACCCCTCTCGCGCACCTCACCCGGTAATCCTGGTCTGCAATATAACAACATTTGGTTATAGTGGCTGACAAGAAACTTCGGAGGCTCGCGAGCGCCCGCGACTAACAGTACCTCGCCAAATATTTTATCTTAGTATAACCACGTTTTGATGCGAGCCCGTCATATCTTGGGCCGTGTAAGAGGAACCTTGCCCAAGCACATCCTCAACATTCGGCTCTCTTGGTTTACACAGTAATGTTTTGTTTCTACATTAGAGGATGATTATCACAATTTGTATCTAAGGATTCTGTGGAATGAAAAAAAGATTATTACCCCCAGTTCAGTCGTACTTGTGAAACTTGCTGACTTCTTTACCTACATGTAAGGTAGCATACCTATCTAGGCTTTACGCCGGAGGCGATGATCCAGTATCATCGAGCGTAGTACCACTCCCAATGTTATTGTTTACATATAAAGCGGACTTGGCCGAACAGGCCGTCTGCGAGCGCCACATTGTTAAGCATCAAAACGTACAGCATAGCCAAAGTGCTGTGAAAGCTAGCTGCATTCTATTTCCTTTGTTTCCCTTCATTTTCCTTTTATTTATTTTTCTAGTTGAAATGATCAGTTCAATTTTAAGAACACTAAACAAAATAATGTATAATAACTAAAATTGACATTAGTTTCTTCATAATGATCATGTAATAATGTGTGCATGTAACAAATAAATAACATAAATAAAAACGAGCGAGGTGTAAGCGTAAAAATGGATGCTCGAGGTTCATGCGCCAGAGTCCTCAACAACGACATCCAAAAACCGAGTGCTTGCCTTATTAAGACACACATCGTTTTCTTGAGAGCGAGCCGAGCTACGTTTTAAGCATTATGTTCGTGCTGATTTTCTTTCAAACGGCCTGCGGCAGAATTACAATTAAAGGGCGCCGTTGGGTTACGGTACCTTCAACACAAGTGGGCGATGTCTAACTGAAGTTGGCGTGTTGTGGGTCTAACAATATTTCTTGACCGGAGATATATTTCTTTGTCGCGTCATCTTCAACATGTGCGAGTGCACGTTATCGTGGAGTAATGGGGATTTGTGCCATTCTGAATGAATTCAAGCGCTGCGTCAGTCATCTTCTTTTGAATTTGCTAGAATAGACAACTGCCGTCACCGTTGTACATACCTATACCCATCGTTTTCCTTTTGAAGCTCCACTAAAAGCACTGCAAATTCTTTTTTCATGCAAATTTGTTTTTGTTACTGTAGGCACCTTCACTCGAAATGTCTGCAGATGACCTGAAGATCCATAATCCAGTGCTTTCCCGTTGTCATTCTGAGCTACAGAATGCAGTAGAAGTTATAGCGCGTTGATTCAGTCAAATACTTGCTCTATCGCTGGCAGGACGAAAATGAAGGGGAATCCAATCTTCACATTTAGTTTTATATTCATGTTGCCGCCGTTTGGGGTTTCCTTGTAAACACTTAGGTTAGGCCCTTGGATCTTGTCACTCAGATTTTGGAGATCACGCGAACCATCTTGTAAGGAGCAGAGAGTTTTCTGTTGTTTGAGTCACTCATTTTTAGAAATCCATTAGCGTAGAAATACAATTACTCATGCGCTCAACATAGTTTATTCATAATAAATTACTAAATTAAAGACTGTTCGAGATATTAGTATCCAGCAGGTTCAACGGGTGGTGCTTCGCTGCCAAAATATCCTTGATCGACAGGCACTGGTGTTTCCTCCCCAATGTCTCCGTATCCTGGAGTAGGAGGAGCTCCATAGGAGTCATCGCCACCTGGGATTGGTGCTGGCGTAATACTCTCGTCTCCATATTCATTACCTCTTCTTGTGGCGCCATACGAATCATCACCAGGGAGAGAATTGGATCCTTCTGAGCCACCAGGTCCTGAATAAGGTGGTGGAGTAATGAGTTCATCTCCATATTGATTAGCCCTCTTCTTTCTATATCCGCCAGGTGCAACAGGAGGTGATTCGCTAGCATATCCTTGATCGACAGGTGCTGGTGTTTCCTCTGCGTATGAATCACCACCTGGAACTGGAGGGCCTCCATAGGGTGGAGGAGTGACATTCTCATCGCCGTATTCGTTGGCTCTCTTCTTCCTGTATCCGCCAGGAACAACAGGAGGTGATTCGCTAGCACCGTAACCTTGGTCAATAGGTGCTGGTGTTTCCTCTGCGTATGAATCACCACCTGGAACTGGAGGGCCTCCATAGGGTGGGGGAGTGACATTCTCATCTCCGTATTCATTGGCTCTCTTCTTCCTGTATCCAGCTGGTTCTACGTTAGGGCCGTCGTCACTCCCATACCCTTGACTTGCAGGTTCAGGTGTTTGCTCTGCGTATGAATCACCACCTGGAACTGGAGGGCCTCCATAGGGTGGGGGAGTGACATTCTCATCTCCGTATTCATTAGCTCTCTTCTTCCTGTATCCAGCTGGTTCTACGTTAGGGCCGTCGTCACTCCCATACCCTTGACTTGCAGGTTCAGGTGTTTGCTCTTCCTGAGGAGCATAGCCTCCATCCGAAGGTGATGGAGTTACTACCTCATCTCCGTATTCGTTTGTTCGTTCTCACTCTTCTGTATCCAGAAGGCACAACTTTGATATTGCCCGCATAACCACCTTGTGAGATTTTGTCAATTTTTTCCTCTCCTCCGCCATAAGTTCGAACTTTACTTTTACCTTTAGGAACGTATGGCTCATCCACGTAGTTTCCATTCGGTAACACAGGTTCGTCTACATATGTACCAGTGGTTGATTCACCGGTAGAGGAAGATTCAGTTGTTTCCGAAGCAGTAGTTTCTTCTACAGTTGTTTCCGCAATAGTTGTCTCGGCTACAGTGGTCTCCTCAATTGTTGTTTCAGCCACAGTAGTTTCTTCTACTGTTGTTTCAGCCACGGTAGTTTCTTCAACTGTTGTTTCTGCAACAGTAGTTTCTGCAGCTGTTGTTTCGGCTACAGTAGTCTCCGGAGCTTCTGTCACAGTCACAGTTATTTCTTCTACGACTGTTTCGGCAACAGTGATGTCAAAAATTGTTGTTCCCACGACTGATACTCCAACTGTCGTGTCTTCAACAGTGGTTTCGGCAACAGTAGTTTCAGCGGCAGTGGTCTCCATACCAGCAGTAGTTGCTTCTCCGATTTCTTCCGTCACACCATCGGCCTGTCGCTTGTCGCGTACTGGAAAATTTTCTTATTAGAATTGGTCAATCAGTTTCGTAATATGTTCTCTGTAATTGAGGGAAAATCTGAGAGCGATCGGCTTATGAGCCATCATAAATAAACATCCATTCCCTGCCATATACTTTTTAACTTCAGAATGTGGGCACGTGGTTTAAAGTTATATTGGCGAGTAACTTTTACGCTTTTGCTAATGTGTATTCTAGTTGATCGTTTCTTTTTTGTAAAGGAGCACCTTGAGTGCAATATTAAATAAATAAATAAATACAGTCATTGTCACTGAAGTCAGTCGGGGCGTGTCATCGGCACGTTAGCTTTGGCGCGGCGCCGACTGCTTTCCATGGATCGCTGCGGCTTGGAGCGTCCAATGACTCGTGAGAAAGGCTGGCACCGCGTCAAAATCCGTGCGCCGTTGACACGCCCCGACTGGATAGTGATAACGACTGTGCTGAATACTGGGTTGTAGTTCAGAACATCAGAAGCGCGACGTCCCGGAAGCAGTGTTTCCCAGCTAGTGGAATTAACGCGCTGTAATTCTGCTTGGCCCCGCAACGCCCTAGTTGCATCTTGAATAAGCTGAACTACATTTCTAGAGAGACATACTTATTTATTTACTTATTCATTTATTTGCAAGAATGTTCATTAGACAACAGCAGTCATACAGGCGCTAATGTTAAAAAATTTACACCCATAATATAATATCGAATACAGCTCGCAAATAAAGAACCTGAATATAAAAGGTTCTTAGACAAAAACTGAAAACATTCAGCAAATTTGGACTAGCCTCCAAGCTCAAGGTCCCAAGATACTAAAGCCTGAGGTTGAAGCTGAGTAAGGCTGCGTTCATACTTCGCGATGACGCCGCCGACGACTACAATGCGGGCCGTAGCGCTCCAGTGCTGTTGGCGGGAACGGAGAAAGAGAATCGAGCAGCACCGGTTACCGAGAGAGTATAGGGGGATAGGATCGCCCGACCAACCCCACAGTCTGGTATCGATCGGCTCTAGCCGCTAGTGTTTCGGCAAAGTATAGAAGAGTAGGAGGGTAGCACATTTGACACTGAAGCGATGGTTCGAGTCAACTAGCCGGGGGCCACATCGTGATTAACGCGTGGTTCCGCTCCACGACTTCCCGAATTCAGCTTGAGTTTGAATATTACTCGGTCCTTCCAGCCAAGGTTACAGTCAGAACCTTCACTTGCCCGCTTTTTCTATATTCCAGTCAGGAAAGCAAGGAATCAGAAAGATTGAACGACGCTTTTTTCCTGTCTTTTCAGGTGTAATGGTGGGCAAAATTAAAGTGCTTTCATTCATGCTCGCAAATTCTCTTCAAACTAGCTTACTTACCCACTGCTCCCTCACTTCCCGAAAATCACCTCAATGACTTTTGGGGTAGATAGACTTGAGGCATGGCCCTGGAATGGCTCGATATCCTGTGCCTAGATATGGCGTCTGTTTAGCGAGTGAACTTCTGGCGCCTGCAGTATAGGCACAGTCAGTAAACCATGCCTGTGGCAGCAGCACGTGCACGTGTGGGGGAGGGCAAGGGACCAGGTCTCTCTCTACCCTTCGAATGGATACGATATTACAAGATGCCGAGTTACGGGCAGAAGTCTTTACTTCAGGGGGCTGAATTCACATCTCACCCTTACTGGGCGAACGCGCTATCCACTACGCCAACAGGACCACTCTTACTTTATATGGAGACGATACCAGTGTTTCGAGGG